GAATGCTAATATACCTGTATGGATAAGTGAGAGAATTTGACAAACTTACTAGTAGAACTAAGAATACAGATGAGTTTTTAAAATGTATTAGAGTTGGCATCACACCATGTAGAAATTTTAACATCCATAACATTGGCAAGAGTGGGTGCTATAATAATGCAAAGCCTCCTCATAATCAAGCAGTTTTGCTATATGAACAACTGTTTGCTATAGGAAGTCCACAGACAGCAATGTTGGGAGGGAGGTAGAGCCCAACAGTGAGAAGAATTTAGATGACCACATGTTGTTCTCTTGAGAGATTAGGAAAGTAAAAATGGAAAAGAGTAATTTAAGTCAAGTCCTATGAGAAGGATGAAGTTTCATCTTCCATAGAGAGTAACCTTTGTTAATATTTTTATGGCTTTCATGTGGATCAGGTCTATCGGAAACTAAGGTTCTATGGCTTTGCTACATCATTAAGGAACCATACTTTGACCTAGCTCTCTTAACTATGTGCCAGTGTCACTCAAAAGTCTCAGTGAAATCCACAAAATTCAGTACTCTTTGGTAGCATTTTCCTAGACTGTGATTCTTCTGAACACAAAGAAACTGGAATACAGTGGATTCCTGAGAGTCATAGAAGAGAATAATTTTTAAAAATCCAGACCTAACAATTCATGTGTTAGAAATTGGTTGTAGATGTCAGACTTATCCACATAGGTTATAGGTGAGCTAAGATATTCAGCCCAGGGCACGAGCTAGAATAGCGAGGATTACTAGGTTGCTCACTTTAGGCTGTGAGGTCTCCTCTTTTACCCCAGTACTGTTATAGTATTATCTTCTCTCAGCCATGATGGGCAAAACATCACTGCATATGTTCCTTGTTATTTTGGAATTGAAGGATTCTTCAGAAGATTCTGTTCACCAATTCCAATTCTCTAAATGAGATCTAGTTTTTAATACTATACACATTAAAGAAAGAACATCTAATTTAATGCTGCATCCGTGTAGTAATTACATGATATTTTCCTAGGTGATATCTGAATGGAATATGAAATAGAAAGTTGTCTTTGTTCCAGTAAAATGTCCAACATTTGATGTTATTTCAAAAGTTATTTGGATTTTTTGCAAGCCATGAAGTTTGTAAAAAAATGCCCGTGACAGAGGGAAAAAAATTGCGGTATTGTGTCTCACTAAGGTTCATCGAAGCCTGGCTGTCACAGAGTTTTTGTACTTCCTCTAATGAGGTGTTTGCTTTCCTTGTTGCACACCACAGATTAGGGTTTTGTTCATCTTTAAAAAAAAGGTTTTATAATTACTGATTTTGACAAGTCTTTATACTGGAAAACAAGACATAGTTAATAAAAGTGGCATAGGTACATTAGAAAATTATTCTGTTAGGGTCATTAAAATGTTGTACTTAGAACATCACTGTTAAAATTTCCACAGTCATTCTCTGATGCCTTCAAAGAATACTACTATTCATTGTGTTTTTCAATAATGCTGTCTACCACATTTTTAAAAGTTTATTCAAAATACTACATGCAAGCTAATTTAATTAATTTTGCATGAAATGTGAAAGAATCCATAGAAAGTAAATGAAAGAGGGATATTGTTTTGAAATGGGACTCCTCCAATGTTCTCTAAGGCAGTGGCTGCTTTTCCATGTCACTAAATGCTGGCTGTTATATTGAATTATAGAAAGAATCTGTGGGGTTTCTAGTATAACTTTGCTTCATGGATTTCATCTACTATTCCAGAACCAACGCAGAAGCTCCTAAGTCATAAATCCACATTGTTGTGCTAGGAGAATTTGGACTCTTTCCACATTTGCTTGATGATCTGCTTTCTAAACAAAATTCTTTATAATTTCCGTGTATATTTTTCTTATTGGGCACCTATGATCTCTAATTATGCTTTGCTATTCCTCTTTTTGTTTTCCATTTAAAAAAATACATGTGTGCAATTTTTTTTCCTGAATACTAATTTAAAATATTTACATAGATTCTTTTTCCAAAGAACATGCTGTGTTTTGTTTTCATCATTTCATTATGTCTTCCACGGTTTTGACTTTGGAAAATAAACATTGGGGAACAGAGGGTAAAAGAGTTGAAGCAATTTCCTTAGTTCATAGAGGCATAACATAATGAATACCCAAGTAACGTATGTCTTAGTTCTTGCAAGTGAAAAAATACTCTAGTGTTGACTGGGAATCAAGATCTAACAGAAAAAAAAGTGTTAAGCTAGTAGAAGTAACATGGTAGCATGTTACAGTGACTCTGGTTATGCAAATGAAAGTAATTAATATTGAATGCCCACTATTTCAAGAGTTATAAGGATTTTAGCATCTTTCAAGATATAAAAGCTATAGTCTCTGACCTTTTGGAGATCACAATTTAGTTATTTTAATTTTTTTTCATCATGTTACAGACCTTGCTGTGAATAATTTAGCGTTATGAGAAATTAAGATCAGTGCTTTATGCTTATAGTAGAAAGAACTATCTCTGTGTTATATCAGATTAATCAATTGGTATGTTCCTCAATGAATTTATTTATAAAAAAATTCCATGTGCATGGATTGTTGAATACAGAATGTCTAAGAGAAATACTTCCTCATGAATAACACCAAAAACAATGCAGAAACCACAAATATCTTGGATAACAATTAATAGAGTATGTTTCTTCTTACTCCTACTCTTATTTTTTTTGATACTTTTTGATTAATTGTTATTTATTTTAAAAATATCTATTAAAGGGGTGCCTGGGTGGCTCAGTCGGTTGGGCGTCCAACTTCAGCTCAGGTCATGATATCACCGTCCATGGGCTCGAGCCCCACATCGGGCTCTGTGCTGACAGCTCAGAGCCTGGAGCCTGCTTCGGATTCTGTGTCTCCCTGTCTCTCTGACCCTCCCCCATTCATGCTCTCTCTCTGTCTCAAAAGTAAATAAACATTAAAAAAATTGAAAATATCTATTAAAAACTAAGACATTTATGTTAATACAATTAATATAGCAAGATATTGGATGAATAGTAAAATCTCTTCTCCTTCTCGACTCCTTATCCTCAAACCCCAGAGGTGAATAGCTTTAACATGTATATGTATACCTTCCCCAAAATGTCAAAGCACATATGCACATACGTGGATATGTGTCTATTTGTACTTATCCTTACCTATATACCTTTGTAAATTTGTATTTATAAGCTTATATTTATAAATTCATACTATTTATGAATTTATATTTACACATTCGTAATATTTCCCACTTGGAGTGATAGTCAGTAAAGCAGAACTGCCAAAGCCCCAACCAATGACAGCAGAAGTCTTGGCTGTTCCTTGCTACACTGAGGTTAACAAGATGGTCTCAGGGGTGAGGAGGCATTTGGGAGGCTTGGGCAGCAGCGATTTACCAACAAGTACAGAAGTATTTCAGAATTTTAATAACTAGTTTTTCCACAACTGTGCCTAAAAGACCAATACCGGTCCTACTTTCAATCATTTGATGGCTTGTGTTTCCTCTCCGAGCACACCTGTGCCCATGTTCTCATAAACATCACAAAAGACCAGCATCAGCACTATTCGTGTTGTCCCCTTCTATTTTTAAAACTTTTCATATTTTTAGGTTCATCCCTTTAGAGTTGCCTATGGACACTGTACATGCATTCATGAAGGGCTCATGTCAAAACTATGAAGCAGACGAAGTTTATTTCTAGAACATTTTTCAGAATTTCCTCTGTGTTCCCTCTGTGGTCCAGTGGGCCCTTTAGTCACATTTTTGTGGGCCTGTCCCCCCACTTGTACCATTCCAGTGATTCTAATTCCTCAGAGCTTAGAGTTCTCAGTCTCCCCATATACCATAGTATTTACTAAACAGAAACATATCATGTTGCTTTATTATTAGTATACTTTTTATGTGTCTCATTATTACAATATATTATCAACCCATGAATGGTAGGACTGTAATTTAAACTAGCTTATATCTATCTTTCTACCCAGGGCATTGCATATAAATGTCACTCAATAATGTTTGTGCATTATTCTTTAGGACTTCATTGGTTATGCACCTTCGCAAAACATCTAGAATGCTTTCTTTTTATGCCTTCATACTTTATGTAGATTTCAAAATAAAGGTTTGCCACAATCCCCTCAATTTTCACCCTGTTGATATGTAGTAACTTCATGTCTTTCTTTATCTTCCTTTTTTAAAATACATGTTTACTTCTTGTTCAGAAAGTATAGTCACCCTTTATTTAATTTTATTTCAATCAGTTGTCTGCAGGTCCCAGAATTTCTTCTCCATTATTTTCTCTTTGGGTGTTGTAAAGTATTTGACATTTATTGAGTATTTACAAGTCCTTTTCCAGGTACTTTTTATACATTATCTCATTGAATCCACATTGTCTGTCAGTACTGTGCTTATTATTAACCCTAATTTGTAGGAAAGGAAGCTAAAAGTTGGGAAAGTAAAATCATCTGCCCAAGGTCACATAAATACTGAGAATACAATTTGAACACAAGTCTATGCCTCTGAAGCTCTATGTTATTTTTGCTCATCATACTAATTCCACCTACATGGTACTTTTCTGAGGATTAGGTGATATAAGTAAGTATATTTTCTAAACAATCCAACACTTATCCACACATGGAGTTTCGGACTCATACTTTATATCCTCTAATACAGTAGGGTGAGTAAATTGGTGTTTAATGAATGTTTTAGGTGATCATGATTATAATGGAATTTAAAAAATCAGATGAAATGATGTCAATTATTTGTTAGAGAACTAAAATCTAATCTTAACCCATTTCTTTTCAAGTCATGGCTGTCAAGATGAAACACGGTATTTTAGAAAAAGGTATTAAACATGAGCATGTAACAGTAAAATCATTTCAGAGAACATAATAGGGTTATAGAATAAAATCTGAAATAAAACTTACTGTAGCATTAAGCTCTATATTTGCAAAACAAATGGTGAGAATACTTTGGAATTCAAAGTTACGTGTTTTTGTGGTCACTCTTCTCCAGGTATTCCAGATTGCTTATGTGATTGTGAAAGCAGCTAATTCCCCGCGGCCTGGAAACTGGATTTTGGAACGCTCACTTGATGATGTCGAATACAAGCCTTGGCAATATCATGCTGTGACAGACACGGAGTGTCTAACACTTTACAATATTTATCCCCGCACTGGACCGCCATCATATGCCAAAGACGATGAGGTCATTTGCACTTCATTTTATTCCAAGATACACCCCTTAGAAAATGGAGAGGTAAGATGAGAAAACTCACCATAAGTACATTTCAGAGGGCAAAGTAGGCCTGTCAGAAAGATGTGAACATATCAGTAATTAATGTCAGGGAGATTTTAAAATAGGATTTAGCAGAAGAACATTTAAATGAGTTATTAAATAAAAAGGGAAAACCCAAGGTGATTAGAATTTTAACTACCTTCGTTGGGTGTGTGTCCCAACCTCAATAAAGACCAGAGAAGAAGAAAGGATTTAAGTTGGAAAGTCAGTGATTAATTTTACATAGTAAGAGACTTTCTTTTGACAATGAGATTGCTCATAATTGGAGAAAGATTGAGATCCTCAGGGAAGCCTTAGATCTGTGTATATTATGGTCTCAAGAAGGGGACAAAAGAGGGGCGCCTGGGTGGCTCAGTGGGTTAAGCATCCGACTTCGGCTCAGGTAATGATCTTGCGGTTTGTGAGTTCGAGCTCTGCATCGGGCTCTGTGCTGTCAGCTCAGAGCCTGGAGCCTGCTTCGGACTCTGTGTCTCCCTCTCTCCCTGCCCCTCCCCCATTCATGCTCTGTCTCTCTCTGTCTCAAAAATAAATAAACATTAAAAAAAAAGAAGGGGACAAAAGACCTGAAATTTAGGAAGAAATATAGTTGATATGAAGGACCTAAATCAAAGGGAATTGTGTTGGTTTTTGCATGTTTTTCTGCTCTTGCCACATAGGGAGGGGTACGGTTGGGTTATTTGTGTGTTTTTGGTCAGGATTTGCTTATTTCATGCTTAATTCAAAAGTGTTCAGCTTCTTGTAGCATCTTTTATCCTTGGTTAAGATTTTACATTTATTCAAATCATGGCTTCACCTGTTACCATCTGTATCATCTTGAGTCAGTGACTTAAGTTCTCTGTGCTTCAGTTTCATCTTCCATGAATCGGTAAAAATACTAATAGCCCTTATGCCATATAATCATTAAGCAGATTAAAAGAATCATTATATTTAAAGTGTTACAACAGTGCTGACAGACCTGTATTAAGTGTTCTGTAAGCATGAACTATTTTTACTGTTGCTGCTGTAATAATAATAACTATTATTGTTAGTAGTCATAGTATTGTAGTAGTTAATAGTAGCAGTCTCCTCTCAAATACCCAAACCTTGACTTAGTGATTCTCTTGCATTCTCTCATGGTATTTTCCTAATCTTTCTCTCTTCGGTATATGTGGCCGGGCTACTTTTGTCCTATCTGCTTACGTGTATCTCAACTTATACTCATGTCTGATAGTCACTCCTCTCTAGTCCACACACCTGAAGGCAGTATCATTTTTTATAGTCACATTTTCACTGAACCCATATTCATATTCTATCAGGCCAATCTCAGCCAGTTCAGGGTTATCTTTTGAAACACTTTTGGAGGAAGTTGTATTTTTGATATAAATTGGTCACACTCCCTTTTGGCAATATTATTCCATGAATGTATACTAAAGCCTCACTATATTTCAAATTCCATGTACGGAAATACCAGTTTCGGGGAAGCAAAATTCCAAATGGTGCTCTCAGCAGAGATCTCAATCTGCCAAATGACAAGGAGTCAAATGCAGTGAGTCAAACAGCTGTTCAACCTGCTTTGTGCCCAGAGGCATCCAATTCCTGGCCAGATTGGCCTGAGGATATAGGAGTAGGGAGTGTGTGCAGAGATAATGGATTTGAGTTGAATTTTTATTATTTTTCTCCTGGATCTAGTGCTTACCCAGAACTCATAATTATGTATTTATATTTATACTATTATAGAGCTATTTTTGTACCTGGAAAAAATGGTCCAATTTGGAAATTGGTTGAACAATATAAAAAGTGTCTTGGTAGATAAATAACCTATAAGTTTACATGCATATCTTCAAAGCATGCTGTCCCTGCATTCATGGTGGTTCTCCATTATTTCAACCATGTCAGCCTGCCAACAAGGAACAAACAGATATGTTGTTTCTTTGTTTGTTTAACTGGCTATATTGTTTTCACTCCTAGACACTAAAAACTAGTCTTTGATGGTGACTATTAGAAACAGCTTACTCAACTTTCTCTGTGGTATTTAGGTCTATTTCTTTCTTATAAGAAAGTGGATGAGGCTAGGAAAAGAAAGTAATTCAAAATATTTGAAATACAATGGTACTATTTAAGAGGAAAAATTAAACTTGGACCTCTCCTAAGATATCTGCTTCATTTTAAATAGCTTACTCTGTGAAACATGTTACTTTTTGGAATAAACCGGTCCAGGGGTGGTAGGTGATATGTATTCTCCAAAACTTCCAAGTCAGTAGTAACAAAACTGAGTTGAGAATGAAGGTCCCCTGACCTCCCAGATTGATGTTTGTTTTTTTTTTCCATCCTCTAGTAAAGAATGGAAGTTGATTTTTCTTTTTTAAAGTTGGTAATTGATAAACTCAAGAGTTTAGAGGAGACAGAGATACTGGATCCAGTATAAGTAGAAAGAGTCCTAATTCTGGGGTATCACACTATAGAACAATATATAATATGAAGAATATAGAAGAATGTATTTCCCAGACCCATGACTGTGAAATAAATCTTAACTATCATTAACTTTTAGTTTTGAAATGATACTTTTTATGTACCACCTGAAATATAATCAGTGCTTATGTTCAAAACTTCCCAGAGAATTGACATAATACTCAAATAAGAGAAACAAATATACAAACCAGAAAATGCAAAAAAAAAAAAAAAAAGTATAAAGGCAACAATAGAAAGGTTTACAGAGACAAATTTCCCCAGCTGAGCCAAAGTAGACGTCTCAGAAGATGACTTCTCAGAATACAGGGAAATCAAAAACAACTCTTAGTATCTCAAAAGTTTTAAGGCCAATATGTAAATTCATCTCTAATATGGGCTATGGGTTAAGCTAGGCATATAACACAATTTACCTCCAATGCTGATGGATAATTTTATTAGGTATAGAATTATAGATTTGCATGTTTTTTCTTTTGGCATATTTTGTTGTCTTCTGGTTTCCATTGTTTATGTAGAAAAGTTAGCTATTGAATAACTATTGTCTATCTATTTTCTTTGATTTCCTTAAAGATGTTATCTTTGTTTTTGTTTTTCTATAGTTTTACTATGATTATCCAGATCTGTACTATGCAGTATAATAATCACTAGCTATATGTGGTTATTTAATTTAGATTTCATTAATGCAAATAAAATTATAATTCAGGTCCTCAGTTGCACAACCACATATCAAGTAGTCAGTAGCCACATGTGACTAGCAGTTACCACTTTGAATTATAGAGAATAGAACATTTCAATCATTGTACAAAGTTCTGAGCAGTGCTGCTATAGATGATTCCTTTTTATTTTCTGTACTAAGATTTATTTGGTTTGTATATTTGCAGAATTGTGCCTTTCATCAGTTCAGGGAATAATTTAGCCTATTAACTCTCCAAATACTGCTCCTTCCCATTCTGTCTCCTCTATAAATATAATTAAAAATAATTTGGAACTTCTCACTATATACACCATGTATCTTACCCTCTTTTGTATATCATCCTTTTGGCCTTCTAGTCTTTATTTTAGATATTTTCTTCTGGCTTACTTCCAGTTCACTAATTCTTTAGCTATGTAAAATCTGCTATTGAAACTATTCATAGGATTCTTCATTTCATTAGTACATTTTTTAGTTCTAGAATTTATCTTTGGTTTATTTTCAAATAGTTTAGTATCTAGTTTTATCCTCAAATTTTATATATTTATTTACATATTTAACAAAATTATATTTAATTTTTTAACATTCTATCTTTATCTCCTTGAACATAAAGTAGCAATTATTTAAGAGTTTTTATTTGATAATTCAAATATCTGGCCTCTGTGGATACATGTTATCTGTTTCATCTGCTGATTCTTTTTTATGATGTCTTATAGCCCCAACAATTCTGATTATTTTTGCATAAAAAAGTTATATTTAAAAATGTATGTATAGAAAAAGTTTGAGGCCTAAGATATTATCTTTACCTTGTGAGGATTTTCTGATGCTTCTGCCGGGCAATTGCAATATGGATCATCTTAATACAATTGTAGGAATTCAAATTTCTGGGTCTTAGATGACTCAAAGCTGTGTTGTAACACAGTGACAATTGCACTAATTCTGGTTTACTTTAGGCTCCCTGTTTTTTTTTTTTTTTTTTAAGTCTAAACCAAAGTATGCGGGATTTACCATAGTCCTGTCCATACAAGTTTTATGTCTTCCCAGAACATTAAGGCTATCAGAGCACTGCTCAGTCTCTCAACCGTGTCTTCTGGACAGGGAAATACCCATCAGACAAAAGCTGTCACAAAATACTAATTGCCTCTTTAGACATATTTCTTCTCCTTAATATTGAGAAGGTTATTTTTCACCTTCTTGATAACTCTCAGATGGCTTTAAGTAAATGTTTTTACATTTTTCTCCAGTTGCTGTAGTTATCATTGGTAGTATTGACACTAATTATATCAACTACCATAAAAAGAAGCATAGTCTCATACACATGTTTAAAAATTATTTTGGAATCATTTTAAATGCACATACATGTAAGAAGAGTACAGAGAATCCCCATTTCTTCTTTACCTGGCTCTTACTAATGTTAATATCTTACAAAGCCACCATGCATTTAGTCAAATGCAAGAAATTAACATTGTCAAAAACTAGTCAAAACTAAGAAATTAACATTGATACATTATTTTGATACATTGATACAAGATTTCATTCATATTATCATCAGTGTTTGCTTTGTTTTGTTTTCTGGGATCCAGTTTGGGATACTATATTGCATTTAGTCATTGTGTCTTCTTAGTGTCCTCTGATTTATGAAAATTTCCTAGTCTTCCCTTGTTTTTCATGACCCTGATCATTTTTAAGAGCACTGGTCAAGTGTTCTGTGTCATATTACTAATTTTGCCTTCTCTAATGTTTTCTCATTATTAGACTGGGCTTCTGGATTTTAGGGAAGAGTACTAGGAGGTGAAACTGTTTTCTTACACATCATTTGTATTTCTTTTTATATGCACATCTCTCATCTATTTCCTCTTTTATTGGTTTATAAATCTTATTGTGCTTCTAGATAGATTTTTATTTTGGACAACGTGTGTAAATATTCACTATGATTTGAAATATATTTTTTTGACTGAGCATTATGATCATTTTCTTCCAGCACTTCACAACAACTTTTAAAAAT